ATGAAAAACTTTCGTAGGACGTATTTTCTTGTAAAGTTCATATTTACTGAGATATCGCACTTTGACGCACTAATGAGCAACCCTGTATATATATAGTAAAATAAACAACAAAAGCGTCATTTTCGATAGATGAATTAGGAAAAATATTACATTTAATAAAGAAATTGTTGATCTAAAATATATGCAATATTGTTTCCTTGTTATGGAAAACCTAATAAATGTAAATAATTAACTGTAATAATTAGAAAAAAAATACAGATTTTCATCATTATCGTTTATCTTCATAATTAATTTGTATAGATTGTGTGACTTTTAGATTTTGAGATTGATATTAGTTGGCTATGTAAATAAAACATATAGGTATTTTAACAAATGTCTAACAGTTAAAAGAGCAAATATTTGTATACATTAACAGGTATAATTTTTTTCAATAAATAACTCAAAAATTGATCATCTAGGTTATCTGGTTTAGACTGTTTTGTTGGAATTATTTCTATTTTCCAAAATTGCCTAATATTAACTATTTTTCTCATACACGAGGACTGTTCAAACGAAAAACTACGAATTAAAGTCAGTTTCAGTATCCGGTGGCTGCTCCAATAAACCAGCTCATGTACACAGATGTAAATTAGCAAAAACAAACTCGATACTACTTAGTTGCACTTGGTTGTGCAGCATAGGTATAAAGAATATTATAAAAAGGCGTCGTGCATCTAGAAAAAATAGGTCAGGAAATAAGTGGCACACCTTATAGTAAGTATTTTAACGCCCGGGTAAGATCTGTGCCAAATATTTAAATAACTCATCGCAGACATATCCAAGATGTTACGTTCAACGTAAATATAATTTTAATAAATTAACAAAGCGAAAGCATGCTATCTATTGCCAATATTGGCTATGGCAAAGATATGTACTTTGAATAATATATAGAAATCTACAGAAAAAACAGCCTTTCCAAATCGATCGTTAACAAAATGAGAATTATTGTTAAACTTAAGCTGCGAAATCCAAGGCAAGCGAAGCTGGAAACAATATAGAGCGGCTTACTAAATTTAAATTAGAAAAAAATGGAATTATTGCTTTTTAACTAGTTTTTAATTTTCAACTTACCTGATTATCCAGAACTAAATTACACTAGCAGGTACACTACTCCTGGCACTCAGAAAACTCAGAAGTGACCATGATCATTGGATAACTATCAAAAGAATTCCATTAAAACCATCCACTTTTTATATTTTTTTAAAGAATTTTATAAGGGACAACTTTGAACAGTTAGTGTTTTAAAAAAATTCAATTCGAAAGTAGAAAAATTGGAGTATTATCTGGTAGTCACTTTAAACATCAATCAGCATAAACTCAAGGCTCCCGGGAGTCTTAAGAGTCCGATTCAAAAAACCATTTCGTCACTATTCAACTATCGTTAAAATTTACATCCTAAAAAGGAGGAAGTATTTAAAAAATCGTACCGCTGTCTTGATTAAAACGAGCGCAACTAATCAAGGGTGCTCTGAATTCTGAATGTGTGCACGCCGGTCAATTCGGGATATCTGGATCCGACACACTCTCGCACACTCTACTATGACGTCACAGCCAATGGAGGAAATCTCTGAGTTTTGCTACGGCTTAAAATAAGTCAAGGAACCGAACTGCTGCCTGGAGATTTGTATAAACCGTATAAACACGTAAGAATTAGATTCCAATTAGATCAGTGTTTATGGTGACCAGAACAGATTGCCTCTGCTGAAATACAATCAAAAGAACCCATTTATTTATAAAGAAATGGATGTTTTTTCAGAAAAAGTAATTCTACTTAAATCCAGTTGTATCTCGTTCTATACCCAAATATTTCAACGAATTTATTCTGATGGCACATTGAATGAAAACTGATGTATTTTGATTAAATATTGCCGAATCCTAAGGCTCGAGCAGTGGATAGAATTGGGCAAGCTTCCGATCACAAATGACAAATGCATCGATTTATACAATTATAGTTAGAGTTATAGATATATATCAATACCTTGATCGCAAATGAGTTATTTGTTGAAGTTGTGAAAATTTTGGACCTTTTCGATACTTTCATTCGATACAATTTATTGACCTCAAAAGACACAAAAAGTTCATTACCTGTCGAAGGAATCGAAAAGCAGCTAACATTTTGAAAAAAAATCAATTCGATCAAAAAGAAGAAAATAGTATAGAAAAAAAATTCTAAAGGAAAGAGGAATCTAACATACCCATTGAACAACATGCTAGACCATTGTACGCCGAAATCTTTTTATGTGCCTTGAGGAGCTTTTTGTGTCGAAAAAACGTACTTACGAATTTTTCGGAAAATCTCCGACTGGCTTCAAATCAAAACCAAAAAAGTGGTCTGACCATTTTTTTTCGACCACTGCAAAGGAAATTTGCCAAAAATGTGAAACCTTGCCCATATTAACTGCAACATTTAATTTTTTGTAATTTTTAATACTCAAATTGTATACCACTTCTATTGGAAAGAACCAAACAATCAATTAACCGAAGTCGTCCCGAAGTTTTGGCCATTTTTAAATTTCCAGTTTTGACCATGCGATATCTGCTATATTCTAGGCTCACATTATCAGTGTATGCATGCAGGGGTGCTTCTGGGGTTGACAACTACTCATGAGCATCAGAAAACAAACAATCACTAAGTAGCTATTTTGCTTATCTGTATATCATTATTTACTTACCGTCTTATTAACTTATTAGCTATTAAATAGCTCAAATTCTATGCCGTTTACATTGGAAAAAACAAGATTAGGCACACGTTTGACCACTTTGAAATTTATTCGATCAACTTGTTTGTACATTTTGAAATTTTGCAATATCAGCTCTATTCTAGCCTGTACATGTATACTGAAAAGTTTACTAGGTTAGGGATATAAATAATAATAAGAAGAAAGTAGCAGAAAATGGTAAATTTTATTCAAACAACGATTATGGAATTTCGAAGCCACCCAGAAAGTCCCATCTTATTTTCAAACCCGGGCTGGTCCCAGGTACCAGCACAACATCTGGGTTTCGCTATTTCAACAAAGCAAAGAGCTAAATTCCTGTCTTTTGTTTGCCACTAGATTATATAAAAATGCAGCAGTCGAGCAAGGCCAAAAAACTAGTGTAAATGGTTTTGTACTAGAATACAATAAAGATGCATTCGTCAGCCCTTGCATAATGAAGGAACAAAAGTCATTCGGTCATAATTTATGGCTGACAACTGCAGATTCGCCACCAAATTACTAGGAATAGTGACGTGACATAAATATCCTTAAATGGAACAAATGTGCTACACTTTCGGCCCGGTTTCAAATCCAATGGAATATTCTCATGGGGCAAAATCACAGCTACTTGTGAGACAGATAGACTTCATAAAAAAAATGTTGCAACTTCATTTATTTCATTCATTAAATAGTCATCTGCTCTGCTTAAAAGCTACGCTTTTACTACTTAAAAGTATGTACTCAACTTAAAAGCATCGCTACCGAACCTATAAGCGAACTTACGAACCATTACACATCACAAGTGCTAAACGTAATTCAAAGTGCGGCACAGTGAGACACGATGAGTTATAAGCGTTCAAGAGTTGAGCGTTCAGTAAAGAATAGTGCGGTCTTATGTCTAAATGTCTTCAAAATTTCGTAAAACCATAAAAAATTAATTAAATTAAAATGCACTGTTTTACGCAAATGCATTTTTTTCCGGTGAGGTTTGGGAAATGCTCTTTTATGCACTCCCAGAGCTGGTAGCCTGTCGCTCTAGGTTGTGTGGGACTCCAGCTAAGCTCTTTACCCACTAAAACCCTTTCCTCACCGCCGAGGTGGTGTTTGGCCTTGCACCGCGGTCATTTCTGTCCTATTGTGCCCTCGTAATTTTACTTCCTAATTATATCTGTATATTCAATAAATTCCAGAAGAATCTTGAGGGGAGTTCGTATAATTTGGTCTGGTGGAATTTCATGCCCTCCCAGGAGTCTTCGTCTACCTGCTGCATATGACGTGCAGTAACACATAACATGCAGAGTAGTTTCGACCTTTAATTTGCAACCCCTGAGGTCGGTTGATCGCTCAGTCCCATCCTGAAGAGGTGTTTTTTGCAGGGGGCGTGTCCTGTTAACATGGCCACTATCCTCTGCTGCGACCTAGCAGTTCATTTTTACGTACTGGTTGCTAAAGTCCCATCAACTGGGAGGTGTCTCCTCCCAGTACTTTCTGTGTTGTTTCAAGATCCACTGCCCAACTGCCACCCTAACTTGGGCATGCGATATACCACAAGCAGGTTCTTGGTTGGTCACGCACCTACGCAACTACATACTCTTCAATAAAAAATTCCAACTTCCAAAGTACAGCGACTAGAAAATTGAAAGATTGACATTCTGTAGAAGACGCTCTTTCAATGAAACTTTGGCGTAAACTTGCACTTTTTGTGACAAATCTACCAAAATTTACTCACCCACGGTGCTTTATAACGGAATCGAATTTCACGGTGCTTTATAACGGAATCGAATTTCGAATTGTTTATCCAATGGTCGAAAACGAACTCTGTGGCTCAAATGGTTCTCCAATCTCACAATTAAAAGAAAACAGACAAAACTTTAGATGAGCTAGATGTAGAAATACAAAGCCGCCCAAATCATTCCCACAGTTTTATGAGTATGGGACTAAAAGGTCTACATGTACATACATGGTTATTGATTGAACTATGGCCACCCCTTTTTTGCATCTAGTTTGAAATTTAGAGAAAAATATTAAATGCAGAAGTTGTAGTCTAGTCTATAATAACGTCTAGTTTATTTTAAGATAATACCAATTGATACAGGGTGCCTCAAATTCAAGTGGCAGATCAAACTTACTTTTTTTAAATGGAATGCCGTACTTTTTATTGCATATTCGAGATATTCGTAAAATTCTAGGTCTATTCGATATAAACGTTCTATATTGATTCTCAACTGTTTTTGAGTTAATTACCAATATTGATTGAATTTTGACCAGCCCGTTTTAACATCTAATTTGAAATTTAGAGAAAAATATCAAATACAAAAGTTTTAAATATTAACATCTAGTTTATTGTAAGAGAATACCAATAGAACAAGGCGCCTCAAAGTCAAGTGGCGGTACAAACTTACATTTTTTTAAATGGAATCGCGCACTTTTTATTTCATATTCGAACTATACGCAAAATTCCAGTCCTCTTAGATATACATTTTTTATATTGATCTTCAACTGTTTTTGAGTTAACAACCATTTAAATATTCGGGCATTTCATTTATAAAAATTTCAGTTTGGCCCGGAACTTGAATTTGAGACACCCTGTAGCAATTGTTCTTATCTTAACATAAACTAGACGTCAATATCTACAACTTTTGTATATAATATTTTGCTCTAAATTTGAAATTAGCTGCAAAAACGGGGTGGCCAAAGTTCGATCAATATTGGTAATTAACTCAAAAACAGTTGAAAATCACTATAAAACATTTATACGGAATGGGTCTAGAATTTTAGGAATAGTTCGAATATGGTATAAAAAGTACGGCCTTCCATTTAAAAAAAAGGTAAGTTTGGTTTGCCACTTGAATTTGGGACACCCTAGACGTTAATATCTACAAGTTTTGTATTTAACATTTTCCTCTAAATTTCAAGTTAGATGGGATGGCCAGAAAAACGGGGTGGCCAAAGTTCAATCAATAACCCTGTACATGGCAAGCAGGGCAAAGTAATGCTAAACTTATCGAAAGCTGTGCAGTACCAGAATAAAAGAAGAAATTGTGTTTAATACAGCAGAAAATCTGTCGAAAACCAAACTTATGTGAAATCAGCAAAGCAAAGAGAGATGAATATAAATAATTCATAAAATTTCAGTTGCTTGTCGGAAAACTAAACTCAGTTCAAGCTAAAAGATTTATAGATTAGAGATCATTATTACCAGCTTTCTGCATGCTGGGGCCCATCCTCCATTTTCCACAAATTAATCTTCAGAAAGCTCACTACTCTCTCACAAACTACCGCACTTGCCATAAGGGTCACAATGATTCTATGTTTCCCATCTAAGAACACGATTCACACGACACAAAGAATTATCAACCGATTTCGTCTACTGTCGATAGCAAACTTCATACACTTTTTCTAAAAAAAAAAGACCCGGAAGTACAGAATAAACATGATTGTTTAATCATTTGCTTGTTCGCCCTTTCATTCGCCCGATTCATTGCTCTGTTCTTCCTTGATAGTTCGATTTCAGTTTGTTTATTGTTGCGCAGTGAGGCGCGATGATTTATATCTCACCAACTCACAGAGCGTCATCAACTCAAGAGCGCAACTCAACACAGTGTTACCCAGGCTTAATAGAAAGTGTGTATGTAGTGTGTATGAAAGTGTATGCGCTCGCTGTATCGCTGTATCGCTGCATCGACACGGCAAGCTGTATCGGTATCGCTGTGTGTAACACCTGAAAATCCACTGTGTTAGTGTCTTACCCAGGCCCAATTTGCATTAAAAAAATGGCAAAAATCGAACAAATTCATTCAATAATGCTTCACTACGCTGCATAAAATCTTTAACAAACATCGGACCTGATTTCTCTGACCAGACTCAGGAGAAAATCACTCCTTATCAGAAAATTCGTATTATCAGAATTATCAGAAAAAACAGTAAAAATGCATAAAAATATAAAAGAAGAAGCTAATAGATAATTTCAGTTGGCCTTCTCCTTTAGCATGAAGGATATAAAGGTTAGCACCTGACAATTAAATGTCAAAAGTAACAATTTATACGATTATTTGAAATTTTTTTATTGTGTTTAATTATCTTATTTCAGTGCCTATACATGTAAGTATGTAGTTGATTCAAAGATTTTAGGGCAGATAGAAAACGTGTTTTATTCTATCAAATGTAACACACAACGTGCTAGATTAATTTAGAAAATTCAATTCCGTTTGAAAAATAGTTTTTCTAAAATTATACTTGCAATATTTCTTTACTGAGTTGCAATAGTGTTAATTGGAATATTTGAATTTCCAGGTCAAAAGTTTATCAATTAGGAATGTCAATTAATTAAAGTCGGTAAGGTAATTTACAGGCCGATTTTTGGGCCTTAAATGCGTATGCATCAATTTCATGCGAAGAAAGCGCGGAATGCAATAAGCTTCTTGAAAAGCACACGAGAAGCTTTCCGTATCATACATAGACCCAAACACTTTACATATGTATACACCTGGGAAGTTTCTTGGGTCGGAAACATATTCAGCTCAAAAAACACGCATGTGACGAATTTTTCGAAAAAAAAGCCAGTTTCTTAAAATGGCCCTATTTTTACATCAGTTTCATCTAAATGAAGAGAGGAATGCAACGAGCTCATTGAAAAACACGCTAGAAGCTTTTGAACTGAAATAATCGACATTTTTGTATAATTTATGTAGTGTTTGAGCGGTCACAATCTTCAACCGATCATATCTTCTTTATTGACATCTTATATCTTATCTGTATATGACACTTTATATAGACATCTTGTGGAGCTTTGCCAGAGTCTTGCGAGAGTCGCAAGACCATGCTCGTATTAATATTTGATTTTTAAGCATTGGTCAATTTATAAGCCCATTTACCCCAGGGGCGAATCCAGCTTTCGAGTGAAGGGAGGGGTCAAGTAGTAGAAATTCTGTCTATTGTTGTCTATGAAATTAGAAAAATTACCGTTAGTCGTTATAAACCCAGCACAAGAGGGGGTCATGACCCCCATGACCCTCCCCCCTGGATCCGTTCTTGATTTACCCAAGCATGCACCTTACCTCAAGCATCTTGGCAGAAAACGATAAAACAAAACGAAGTGGGGCCAATACCGTAATCCGATATTGAACCGCAGTAAATCTGTCCTCGCAGCCCTTGATGAAAAAAATTATGAATAAGAAAAATGGACCATTTTAAACGCTTAACCGAAAACATTAAATTATAAACCAAAGCTGTGAACCAGTGTCACATAAATAAAACAGTACTTAAAATGTGATCGATTCCAGATGTTTTCCGTTTTTCTTTCAGATTACGTAAATCGGGGGTAGGTAGTATAAATATTTGCAAAATACAGTTAGTTGTCGATATTGCCTACGTAAAATTGCTTATTGATCTACATAATTAGTGTTTGTGCCCCTTCTGTTTGTCCAAGTACAAGCTGAGTTTGTCTCATAGAGTAGTCCTTTTGACTGTAGCTGATATACATATATTTATATTTTCTAGTATTTATTTATAATTTCCTTCATACCGATTTATCTGTCTTTAATATCTTTTTATTATTTGCTAACGTTTAATTGGTTTTGCCCAGAACCCATCTAAGAGAAAGTACTATTGAAGTGAATATATCTTACACTAAACAGGATGTTATTCGTAACTTGAAAAATACCATTACAATAATCCCGAATAGTTTAGGTATTAATGTCGTTGTTCCAACTTCAGCTCCAGCGGAAAGACGTTTTTCAAAAGCATTTTTATTTATTAGAAAACATCGCCACCGATGTCCGATTATACAATGAACCAGCGTGTTGATTACTCCGTTTAAGCTCTTAGTCATTCACATTTTGAAAAGCTTGCATTCATTTTTATCATATTATTTGTATGTAGTTCTGTGTAGAATTATTATTCATTTTTGATCCATTCCTCTATAGACCAGTGGATCGATCGTGCTAGTGCTTCAGTGCATTTTCACACACAACTATTCCAAAAATGTTTACACTTCGACGGCCCTAAACCAAACTGATTCTGGCGTTTTAACCAACTAAACGATTCAGTTTAGTAGCTTAATTCGAATATGGAAGGAAATGAAAGTGATTTCAACCTTACGCCACAAACATTAGCCGACAACACATTAACTAGTGCATCTCAAGTATGTCCATTGAAATTAACCCACTTTGAACTAAATGGATGGCAAACAGTTAAATAAAGCAAGCGACAGAGATCTAACTCCAATAGTCCAACCGAAGAAACCAACAAGAAACGACACTTAAACATATCTCTGAGCAATCAGTTGCAAATATTCCACCCCCATATACATTCCTGATGTTTCTCGCACCACAAAACTACAAGAAGAACTACGTAAATTGCAGCTACCAGGAGATCTTACCTACGAAACTGCCAACAAAAACCAAATTAGAATCAACACTAACTCGATCAATTCATTTAGAGCGATTTCTTAATAACAAAAATGCACATTTTCATTTACATCAACTAAAACAAGAGCTGTTATTCGCAACATGTACTCAACAACCCCAGTCGAAGATATTAAAACTGGGTTAGAGGAACTAGGCTATTTAGTTCGAAACATCTCTAATATCAGACACAGAGTTACTAAAGGCAACACACCTTTGTTCTTTGTTGACTTAGAACCACATAGCACCACCCAGAAAATCTTCAAACTAAAGTGACTCTTGGGTTCAGAAATTGTGTCGATCCTCCAAGAAAAGAAAAGTATGTAGTTCAATGCACAAGATGTCAGAAATCTTGTCACCCCAAAGGGTACTGCAACAGCCAAATGCGTACTATGTGGCGGCAATCACCCAGCAAATTATAAAGGTTGCTCTGTATACCAAGAGATAAGTCAAAGGAAAAGCCATTATTTCCGGGTACTTCAATGCCGACACCAAACCAACCCCATGAAATTCGCAAAAATCTTCCGTACTGAACATCAACTCTGGCCCAACGCATACTACTTCTGAGCAAACAGCATCTTCAGCTACTTCCACGAGAACCTACGCCCAAGTTACTGAAAACATTAACCAGAATAGCTCTTCACCTGACCAACTTTTCAATGTTCTTTCTCAATCCTTTGTCAAACTGGAAGTTGCAATGAACGTGCAAGCAATTGCGTTGCAAGCCGAGCAATTTACTAGCAACACTAGTCACGAAGTTAGTGTAAATGGCTGACAGAACACCAATGGGCTCATTCAGCATAAACTAGAATTAGAACAATACTTATCATCCCAGAGTCCCCCCTAGACTAGATGTCTAGTATCCGAAAGCGATCTCACTGATAAATCATACTTTAAAATTCGTGGATATGAGACCTACAGTACCCGGCATCCTGATGGCAAGGCACATGGCAGATATGCAGTTCTGACTAAGTCCAGCATCAAACGCTACGAGCTGGAGAAGTTCAATGATAATTTTCTCCAAGCTACTAACGAGAAAGTTGAGGACACCAAAAGACCTTTTGTAGTTTCCGCGGTCTATTGGCCCCCAAGACACTCACTGAAAGATGATCTGCTAAAAAACTTCTTCAAAAAATTAGGCCACAGGCTTGTTGCTGGTGGCGACTATAATGCGAAACATGCCGCATGGGGCTAAAGACTTATAACATCTCGTGGGAGAATTTTTCAAAAAGTAATTGATGAAGAAGACCGACCGGAGAACCGACGTATTGGCCATCTGACCATTGACGTAATCCGGGGGTGGCAGCTGCCACTCCAGAATTGTCAATCCCAATAGTTTGCCACCCCAGAATTTTGAAGTAAATTCAATAATTAACAAATAACTAACTAAAAAATACAAATCCGCAACAGGGATTGTTTTTAATTTTGTCGATTTTCCCTTAATCATGCTTAGTTTAAATCTTAGAGAAAGATACCATGTGCTTTAAAAACTTGTAATTTATAAACTTACATAGAAACATTGGAGTAGTAGATAGAATTTACGTAACAAAATAAGGAACATTGTTGAAATAAACATTTTCCAAAATGGCTTTAATTCAAGTCAAAAAAGAAGACTTTATTTTGTAATAATAACTTGTAATATGTATAATGACAATTGAGTAAAATATTTTTTTGTATAATGTTTGATTTATTATAATTGTTAACTCCATATTTTGAGTTAATAACTCAAGTGATTAAAAATTATTGTTTTATGGTAAATTGTTAGAAATTAAATTGCTGCAAAAATAGCCTGGAAAAGCTTAAAAAACGAACAAATTTAATATCAAGTTTAAACATTTTTATGGAAGAGGACCTCTTTTCACCTGAGTAGGTTTTGCCACCCCAGTTTAAATTGGAATGACGCCTATGCGTCGACCACGCCAAAATACCGGCCCTGCTGGACTTCCTTGTCGCTTATGGATATAACAACAGTTATTCTCGACTAGAGTCAATCCTTCAACTCTATTCTGATCATTCAGCCGTACTCATAACCCTCCACCCTCAAATAGCAACAAAAATTCAGCCACCACGCCTCTATAACCACAGAACCGTCTGGAATTCATTCAGCAGCTTCATTGATGAAAACATTAATCTAAAAATTCCCTTAAAAACACAACATGACATCGGTACGGCAACAGAAAACTTAATTATGCTATTACATGAAGCTGCAATGAAAGCAACTCCCACTGTAGACGAAAAACCTGCAAACACTGAATTAACTTATTCCCAAGAAATTCTCAGAAAAGTCAGAAAAAAAGGAAGAATTCGCAGAATCTGGCAATCATACCGCCGCCCCCAATATAAGACCGAACTCAACAGGCTAAGTAAAGAACCGAGAGAGCTCCTGGTACCTCGTAGAAACGATACATTTTAAGATTTCCTAACGAACTTCGCTCCCACCGCAGATAGGAACTACTCGCTCTGAAGAGCAACCAAATCACTTAAGCAGCCTAAAACTCAATCGTCACCTATAAACCAATGGATGGCCCAGAAGCGACAAGGACAGAGCCGAAGTATTTGCGGCACATCTACAGTTGACAACTGGTCAAATAAAATCGAAGATTTCCTTCCTCACTTTACACCATCTGATCCACGCTCTCAAATCAAGGCAACGAATACAAACAAGGCTACAGGCTACAACTCATTATCGGCAAAAAT